CTTGGGTATAGGTGGGGGGCCCCCTTTCCTTGGGTATTGGTGGGGGGCCCCCTAATTCCTTGCAGATGGTGGTTTGAGGTAATGTCTGCTGGCGGCTTTGAGCTGCACCAAGTTTTATTGAATATCTGGTGCAGATACTTCGCGACGGCGGCGGCCTTAGGATCCTCTAGGGTTTAGGGTTTAGGGTTTAGGGTTTGCGCGATGGACACCGGGGCTCTGGCCCGCGGTGTTCTTTGTAGGGCGTAGGATCCGGGGCCGCCAGTGCTTATTGCCAAGCTTAAGGGGGCTAGGGTTTAGAACTTAGGGTTTAGGGTTTAGGGTTAGGGTCACTGCCGGAAACGCGCAGGGACAATCAAACAAATTAATCATTTTAAATGCTTCTTAGTGAATTCAGTTGCACTTAATGTCTTTGGATTATTTTAAACATATTTAACACATTTGATTAAATAATAATGGACATAAAGGGGGCCCCCGAAACCCTTGGGGGCCCCCAGACGGGCTGCAGCATCAGAGTGCGGTGTCTTGCTGCTGCTGCTTATGGTGATGGCTGAGCTGCTGCTGTTGGTGATGCTGCTGCTGCTGATGGTGGTGGTGCTGCTGCTGATGCTGCTGCTGCTGCTCTTCGTGACGGTGGTGCTGCTGTTGATGGTGCTGCTGCTGCTCGCTGTGGTGGTGCTGTTGCTGTTGGCGGTTAGAGTGTTGCTGCTGCTGCTGCCGATGGGGCTCGTGGTGGTGCTGCTGCCCCTGTTGCTGCTGCTGTTCCTGCTGCTGCTGCTCGTGCTGTTCCGGCGGGTGCTCCTCGCGCTCCTGGTGCTGCTGGTGTTCCTGCTGCTGTTGCTGCTGATGGTGCTGCTGCTGCTCGTGGTGCTGCTGCTCGTGGTGCTGCTGCTCGCGGTGCTGCTGCTCGGGGTGCTGCTGCTCGTGGTGTTGCTTCTCGGGGTGCTGCTGCTCGTGGTGCTGCTGCTCCTGGTGTTGGTGATGCGGCTGCTGCTGCTGATCTTGCTGCTGCTGCGTCTGCTCTTGCTGCTGCTGCGTCTGCTCTTGCTGCCGGTCTTCCTCGTGCTGCTGCTGCTGGTCCTGCTGCTGTTGGCCTTGCTGCTGTTGTTCCTGCTGCTGCTCCTCGCGATGGTGGTGCTCCACTTCTACCTGTTGCCGATGGGGTTCCTGCTGCTCCTGCTGCTCCCCCTGCCCGTGCGCTCCCCCTTGCTGCTGCTGCTGCTGCTGCATGCGCAGCCTGCAGCCAGCCCCAAAAGCTGGCAGCAGCTGCATGTAGGCCTCGAAGCCCCGGGTCACCTGCGTGGGCATGCAGCCTGTGGGGAGGGCCCCCAAGGGGGGCCCCCCTCTGTGCTGCAGCTGCAGCAGCAGGGGAAAGTCCGTTTCAGGGTTTAGCTGCGCCTCCGACAGCAGCTTCGGCTGCTCCAGCAAAGAAGGCCAATTCCCCTTTTCCCCATTTGCTGCAGTGGGGGCCCCCCGGGGGCCTTTGAAGGCCCCCAGCCTCCCGCGGCCCCTGCGGGGGGCTGGGGACTTGTCGGAATCTTTTTTATTTTTATTTTTTCTTCTCTTGAAGAGGCTGCGGCCTTTCCTTTTGCTGCCTTTCTCGTCTCCCGCTGCTGCTGCTGCTGCTGCGGCAGCAGCAGCAGCGTCTTCGTTGCCGCTGCTGGAGCTCAGTTCCAGAGAATTGCGGCTGTTAGAGCTTCTCCTTTTTGGTTTCTTTAAGATGCCTTTGAGGCTTTTTCTTCTTTTTGCTGCTGCTGCTCCTTGCTGCTTAGCTTCTCCCTCATCGGATGCTGCTGCTGCTGCTCCTTCTGCCGCTGCCGCTGCGCCTTCTGTTGCTGCTCCTCCTCCTTCTGCTCTCGTTCCCTCTGCTGCTGCTGCGGCTCCTCCTGCTGCTGCCTCTCCTTCCGCTGCCGTTGCTCCTTCTGCTGTTGCTCCTGCTGCTGCTGCCTCTCTTTCAGCTGCTGCTGCTCCTGCTGCTGCTGCTCCTGCTGCTGCTGCTGAGGGCGCCTCGCTGTCTTCACTGTCTTGTGCTGCAGGTGCTTCTCTTGTTTTTTTTCTTCCTCCAGAAAGGCGTCCTCTGCTGGATGCAAGTCTTCTTTTTCTTTTCGGTTTTTCTCTCTTGGTTGCTTCCGCTTCTTTAGTTCTTGCTGCTGCAGTTGCTGCTGCAGCAGACTCTTTTCTGCTTTTCTTTTGAGCCATTTTGCTTATTTTCACGTGGCGGCCCCTCGAAAAAACCGACCTCCTACCCTTCCGCTTGCTGCTGCTGCTGCTGCTGCTGCTGCTGCTGCTAAGGGTGTAGGACCCTGACCTCCAAGAGATCTTTTGTTTCGGTCTCACCACAGGGCCCTCGTCGGGGGCCCCCTGGGAGCCCGCCTGTGGGGCCCCCTGGGGGCCCCCCTGGGGGTTCCCCTGGGACCCCTCCTGTGGGGTCCCCTCGGAGGCCTCCTGGGGGGGCCCCTGGTGGGCCCCCTGGGGAGCCTCTTGGAGGGCCTCCTGGGGGTCCCCCTGGGGGGCCCCCTGGGGGTCCTCTTGAGGAGACCCCTGGGGGGCCTCCTTGGGGGCCTCCTGAGGGGCCTCGTGGGGCATGTCCTGGGAATCCCCCGTGGGGGCCCCTAGGCGGGCCCCCTGGGGGGCCCCTGTAGACTGCTCCGCGGCGAGCTGGAGCCCCAGAGAGTCCCCCAAAGAGGGTACTGGCCCCTGCACGACCCAGCCGTGCAGAATAGTGCAGAAGGCCAGAGTGGCGGCCAGCCAGCGCAGGTGGGGGTCCCCCATGGCTCCCCCTAAGCCCGTACTGCAGCAAAGGGAGGGGGGCCCCCGGGGCCCCTGGTGGCGCCCCACAGCCCCAGGCAGCAGGAGAAGCAGCACAGGCCCGAAGTGCAGCAACTTGGGGGCAAACAGAAGACAAAAAGAAACTAAGACCGGCGCCTACAGCAGCAGATTACCGTGGGCTCAGACCTGCCCCCGAAGGCCTCCCTGGGGCTGCGCACAGAGCCAAGAAGTGCTTTAAAATGCATTAATTTTTAAATATTTTTCTTTTAAAATCCCTAAACAATTGCAAGAGGCTCGCAGTGTGAGGCCCTGGAGAGCCTTCGGGCGGGGCCGCCCAGGAGCGGGCGATCGCAGCGTGGGCCCGAGCCCGGGCTGGGGGCTGGTTTCAGCGGAGTTTCGAGGAAAAATGGGTCAATTTCAATAATTAATTAATTAGAAAAGGTATTTTTAATAAAATTAAGGAAAAATGCTGTGTTAGGGCTCGAGATGCTTCGAAAAACCGACAGCCGCCCTAGAAGACCAGCGGCACAGTCTTGAACAAGACCTTCATGGGTTGCTGCACATGCCCGATCTCTTATATCTGTTCGTTTTCGAGAAAAATAAAACAAATAATTAAAAGTATTCTTTTATATGCTTGCTTAAGAAGATGCCTTATTCTGCACTCGTGCTCGACTTGTGAAGCGGTTCCTGCAAGACAGCGCCGGACCTTTCTGAAAGACCAATGGGCTCTACGGCTGCTGGGCTTTATATCCCCAATATCATCTAATTGAAACTTTTGAATTATTTCAAAATATATTCTTAATGAAAAACGTGCAGAGTACAGTCTCGTTCGCCGGGAAGCCAGGCAGGGTCGCGAGCGGAGAAGGCACCTGCGGCTTTCGCAATAAATTCCATTTTGAACAAACCCAGTCTATTCAACTAAACAAATTCAACTTAGGACAAAACATTTTGTCTAAAAGTGGTAGTTTTTATTGTCTGTTGACAACCTCTATTGGGGTGTATAGTGAGTTACACGGAAGCATGCTTGTCTGGTGTGAACTCGACTTTGCTGCAAGCTCCGACTGAATGCCACGACTCAATGCTCATAGCTTGTTGAAAAGTTGAAACAAATCATTTTGGCAATTGCTTTTTGCTTTTGTGCACTGTGCTCTTTATAATGGGAGAAATCAGTGGCCCACAAGTTCCGCAGCCTCGGCAGTCGCTGCTTCAGCTGCGGGCTCTGCGAAACACAACCAGCTACAAATTGGAAGAGCTGAGCGTCTTAAGAAAAGAAGCAGATGTTCTTGAGCAAAAGCGCCGGTCAATTCTTCGCGAAACTGCGGCTATTCGTGCAGATCAACGGGCAGCAGCAGCGGCAGCCATCCGCCTTGTTCATGCCAACGCCACCAGGGAAACAGAGCGCAGAGCTCTTGAAATGGAAGTATTAGCATTGAAATCTGAGCTTTCCTTGCAAAAAAAAGAACTGGAGGAGATGGAAACTGCGTGGAAAAGGCGCAAGTAGGCTTTTTTGTAAAACCTGAACAGGCAGCAGCCGCAGCCCCGCGCGCCGATCTCAGGGCGGAGCTCATGGCGGAATGCGAGCAGCTGATGTTGAATTTAAAATCGGATTTTAAAGAAAAAGTGGGATTTGTTTTTAATTTTAATTTAAAATTAGCATTTCCGTGCTTTCCCCGCTAAATGGACTCCAATTGCAACTTCGGATTCTTGCAAGCAGCAACGGAGCCAAGCCGCTGATCTCGCCTCCCAAGAAGAACAACTTCGCCGAAAAGTTGAATTCAAAATTCAAAACAATTTGCGTTTGGCGGCTGAGACGGCCGCTCTTAGGGCTCAGGGCCAAGTAAGCAGTTTCGCAATAAACTTGAAAAACTTGAATGAGGAGTGCGCGTTGCACTAGAAAAAATCGACAAAACTCAAGTTTATGTTTCTAATTTGCAAAAATTATTCAAATATTCCACCTTTTTTAATTTTTGAATCTATTTTAAACTTCATTTCATTTTTTACTTCCTCAGGAAGCTGCAGCTCAGCGCCGTCGTATTCAAAACGCAGCCCAAGCCCTGCAGGTGAGGCTTTTGTTTTCATCTTCACAAATTAAAAAACATAATTAATTAATTATCAGACAACTTGGGGAAATACAAATATATATTAAAGTCTAAAAGGCGCAGTTTTTCCGTCCCTGGGGGCCCCCAGAGGGGCCCCCAGAGAAGCTCCTGGGGTTTCATTCCTCTTGGGGACCCCCCAGGCTTTCTTACGGTATATTGCTTACTTCTGTTGCGGGACCTTACTTTACAGACCCTGAACCCTAAACCCTAAACCCTAAACCCTAGCTGAAGCAGCGCAGCAGCAGCTTTGCCTTCTTCCCCTTAAACATTAAAATGTGAGATTTTTGTTCTCGGGAAGTGTCAGTGAGGCTTTTGGAGTAGGCTTTGAAGTGCCTCTTTGCTGTATGCAATTAGGGTTTAGGGTTTAGTGAGTTTTAAAGCATTTAAAAGCTGAAATAAGCCCGGTTGTCGCCTCAAGTGTTTCTAAAGAGGCTAAGTGCTGCTTCATGTCCTTATAAAGCACTTGTCGGGCTTTTAAGAAACCCTCAACCTACAACAGGGGCCCCATGGGGGCCCCTAGAACTTCTGTGGGGCCCCGAGGAGCCTCTAGGGCCATTCGGGGGCCCCCAAAGGGCCCCCCAGCAGCACCGTGGAGGCCCCCAAGAGGGCTGAGGGGGGCCCAATAAGAAGAGTGTACCTACTTAGGGGCCCCCCAAGGTCCCTAGCAGCAGCTCGAGGCCTCAAGGGGGCACCCCACTGTTGCTGCAGGCATTTAGAGCCGCTGGGAGGCCCCCGGGGGGCCCTCCGGGGGGCCCCAGTGGGGGGCCCCAGTGGGGGGCCCCCTTGGGGGCTGGGGAGTCCATTTTGCATTTAGTTTTCACTTTAGCTGCGTTTCGAGCTCCAGCAAAGGGCCTTTTGTGTGTTTCAATGAAACTGTCTTTGCATATGGAGCTTTAGGGGCCTCTAAAGGACTAAAAGTTTGGCCGTGGTGTCTTCAGCAGCAAAACAAATATCGAAAACTTGGGAGCACTGCAGCGCCGCGGGCGCTGCTGCGGCTGCTGCATGCAAACTCTTTGGTGCAAAGGACTTCTAAGGCCCCCGAAGCTTCGGAAAAGGCCTGAGAGAATATAAAGAGGAACATGAAAAGTAAGGGAGTCTTTTCTTGCTGCTGTGTTGCTGCGGTGGGACCTGCAGGCTGCACAGGCTGGCGCCAGACCAGGTTTCGCAGCACTTTCCGGCAAAATGAGCCTTTAAAAACGTGTTCTTGAATTCTAAAAGATGCAAAATTCAAATTCATATCGAATTGGACTTTAATTTGGTGCAAAAAGGCAGGAAAAACGGGTCGTTTCAGCTTGAGGTGGGGCCCGGGCGCCGCTGACGACTGCGGCGCTGTGCCTACGGAAACCCGGGATATACAAATGTGGATTTGTTTATTTTTCGCGGAAAAAAAGAGAGAAAAATGCAAATGAATTAAATCTGAAGAATTTAGGAGGCTCTGAGGAGAGGAGAAAGCCGGAATGAGGGCCCCCTGCGAACGCAGACAAGGTGCAGCAGCAGGAGAGCATCCGCTCACGCAGCAGCAACAGCAGCAGCAGCAGCAGCAGCAAGGACGTCGTTTTCGGTTTTTGCCGGCGCCGAATGAATGAAAGGGATATTTCTGTTGCATTTACAACTGAAATTATCTCTTTTTACCCGAGGGAGCGAAGGAAACGAATGCCCTAGCGGCAGCACTGGCAGCGCGCCAGGGTGAGTTAGTGCCTCTCTACCTCTATTTCTGCCTCCATTTTAAACCCTAAACCCTTCAAAAGTCTCTTCTCCATTTGTCTGCAAGGGTTTGCGGTTTCTATTCCGTTCCCTGCTGCAGGAACTGCCGCCGCAGCCGCCTCAAGTCAAGGGTTTAGGGTTTAGGGTTTCGAATTTAGGGTTTGCCGAAAGTTCCAGGGAGAACCTGCACTGCTGCATGCGCTACTGCCTGACCTGCTGCTGCGCTTCCCATAACTCTTGCTGCGTCTGCCTGTGCTAGCTCGCGGCCCCACAGCGGCAGCAGCAGCACATGCTGCAGCAGCAGCAGTATACACAGCAGCAGCAGCAGCAGCGTACACAGCAGCAGCAGTACCATATACAGCAGCGGCATACAGAGCAGGTGCACATGCAGCAGCAACATACACAGCAGCACCATACACAGCGGCAGCATATGCGGCACGCGCAGCACATGGAGGAGCAGCAGCAGCAGCAGCATATACTGTAGCAGCAGCAGCAGTCCCGGCATATACAGTAGCTGCGGCAGCAACAGCATATATAGTAGGAGCGACAGCATATACAGTAGCGGCTGCAGCAGCATATACAGCAGCAGACACCGCAGCAGCAGCATATACAGGAGAGTGCACAGCAGCAGCAGCAAGTACAGCAGCAGCAGCAGCAGCAGCGCATAGAGCAGCAGGAGCGCAAGAAGCAGAAGCAAAATGAAAACCCTAGGCGGGGGGGGGCCTCCTGAGGGGAGCGCAGGCGGTGCTGCGCCCTCAGCAGCAGCCCCAGCAGCAGCAGCAGGCGGCGGTTCGGCAGCAGCAGCAGACCCTGCAGCAGCAGCAGCAGCTCCCGCAGCAGCAGAAGCAGCCCCCCCCGCATCTCCTGCGGCCCCTCCCGCGGGCGCAGCAGCCCCGCCCCCCGCATCCCCCGCGGCCCCAGCAGCAGCAGCAGCAGCAGCGCCGCACCCCTCCGCAGCAGCAGCAGCAGCAGCAGCAGGGGGGCACCCCACGCTCAGCAGCAGGGGCCCCGGGTCCCGCGGGCGCAGCCTGCTGGGGCCCCGGGTGTCTTTGGAAGTTAAAAATGAAAATGAAGAAAAAAATGAAAACAAATTAAGTCATTTGGACCCTTCAGCTTATCCAGATAGTGTTGAGATGGAAGTTCTGGAAAGACTCAGCAAAAGCCAGGTCCGCTGCTGCTGCTGCTGCTGCTGCTGCGGGGGGGTGGGGGGTGGCGGGTGGTTTGGTGCTGGTGGTGTTGCTGCTGGTGTTGCTGCTGGGGCTGGTGTTGTGGCTGCTGCTGGTGTTGCTGCTGCCGCTGCTGCTGCCGCAGCGGCCCACAGGGTGCTGCTGCTGCTGCGGCGCACTAGGTGCTGCGGCTGCAGCGGCCGACGTTGTTGCTGCTGCATTGGCTGCTGCTGATTCCGTCGCTGCTCTATTAGCTGCTGCTGTGGCTGCTCCATTAGGTGCTGCTGCTGTGGCAACTGTCTCAGCTGCTGCTGCTGCTGCTGCTGCTGCGATTGCTGCTGCCTGCACTGCTGCTGCACTGGCTTCTGCATTAGCTGCTGCTGACACTGCTGCGGATCCACCAACTGCTGCTGCTGCACTCGCTGCTGCTGATGCATTAACTGCTGCTGCTGCATTGAATGCTGCTGCATTTACTTCTGTTGCTGCATTACCTGCTGCTGCACTCCATGTTGCTGCTGCACTCCCTGCTGCTGCTGCACTTCCTGATGGTGCTGCACTACTTGATGCTGCTGCACTACCTGATGCTGCTGCAGTCCCTGCTGCTGCTGCACTCCCTGCTGGTCCTGCACTCCCCGCTGCTCCTGCATTACGTGCTGCTGCTGCACTCCCTGCTGCTGCATTACCTGCTGCTGCTGTGTTACCTGCTGCTGCTGCTGCTGCTGCTGCTGCAGGTTAGCCTAAAGGAGCTGGTTGAGTCCGCTCGAGATGCAGATCCGGAAGCTTTTCAAAAAATGGTGACAGCAACTGAAAAGGAGTTTCCCACTTCCGGCAAAAACAGATTTGCCTCCGCCGACGTCCACGTAGGGTTTAGGGTTTAGGGTTTAGGGTTTGGGGTTTGGGGTGTGGAGTGTGGGGTGGGCTGGCTGGGCGCTACCGGCATCAGGGCGTGCTGCATCGAGCTTGTCAATTGCGAGGGTTTAGGTTAGAGGGTTTAGGGTTTCCCTTCCCAGTGCCAGGGGTTTAGGGTTTAGGGTTTAGGGCTTAGGGTTTGTGGTTTGTGCAGGAACTGGCGCTGGAGTTTGGCTGCGAGGACGTGCGGAAGGGTTTGACAGCAGCAGCAGCAGCAGCAAACCGCGCGCGGTTTGGGGCGAATTGTTTGGAGAGAAGCAGCAAAGACTCTATTTTGAGAGTTTTCATTTCGCAGTTTCTCTCTCCAGTTGTGCTGCTGCTGCTTGTTGCTGCTGTTGCTTCTCTTGTTATGAAGGAGTGGGTCGAAGGCGCTGCCATTCTTGTCATCGTCACCCTCAACGCCTGCCTCGCCACCTACATGGAGCAAAGCGGTAGGGTTTAGGGTTTAGGGTTTAGGGTTTGGGGTTTGGGGTTTGGGGTTTAGGGTTTGGGTTTAGGGTTTGGGGTTTGGAGTTTGGGATTTAGGGTTTGGGTTTGGGGTTTGGGGTTTGGAGTTTGGGGTGTAGGGTTTAGGGTTTAGGGTTTAGGGTTTAGGGTTTAGGCGTTAGGGTTTAGGGGTTGGGGTTTAGGGATTGGAGGTTGGGGTTGGGGTTTAGGGTTTGGGATTTAGGGGTTGGAACTTAGGGTTTAGGGTTTACTGTTTAGGGTCTAAACTGTTTAGTTTAGAGCTTTTTAGAGCTTTCGGGGTTTAGGGTTTGCAGGGTTTAGGGTTTGCAGGGTTTAAAGTTCAAAGCAGCTTTGAAACACAATTATTCTGGCTGTCCAAACCCTAGAACCTTCACAACTCCCTCCAAACCCTAAACCCTAAACCCTAAACCTTCAACCGTTCTGAGTGTCCAAACCCTAGAACCTTGACAACTCCCCCAAACCCTAAACCCTAAACCCCAAACCGTCCTGCGCGTCCAAGCCCCAGAACCTTGGCAACTACCCCAAACCCCAAACCCTAAACCCTAAACCCTAATGCTGCGTTCAGCGAGTTCCGCGTTGGCGAAGCTGGCGAACTTGGCGGCCCCGAGCTGCTGCGTGCTGCGGGACGGCCAGGAGCAGCAAATAGCAGCAGCAGAAGTTGTTCCTGGAGATATAGTTTTTTTGCAAACTGGCAACAGCGTTTGTGCAGACATGCGCTGCTTGGAGCTCACGGAACTCAAAACCAACGAGGCCATTCTCACCGGTGCGCCCCGCTGCTGCTGCCGCTGCTGCTGCTGCTGCTGCTGCTGCGCTGCTGCTGCTGCAGCAGCAGCAGCAGCAGCGGCGTTTTCGGGCCGTTTTCCGCGGGTTTCGCGTCTTTTTGGCTCGTTTTTTCCGCGGTCAGTTCTGCTGCTGAGCAGCAGCAAGCTGCTGCTGCTGCTGCTGCTGCTGGGCTGCAGGAGAGTCCGAAGATGTCACCAAAACGGTCTCCGCAGTTGACCCCGACAGCCCCTTCGCCTCCAACTTGTGCTTCGCCAGCACCATCGTCACCAACGGCAGCGGCCGCTGTCTCGTCTACGCCACGGGCATGGAGACGCAAGTCCGCGAAACCCCATTTTAGGGTTTTCTGGCGTTTTAATGGGTTTTTATAGGGGTTTTCTCTCCCATTTATGAGGGTTTTCTTTGCCGTTTCAACGAGGGTTTTGGTTGGGATTTTGGGGGGCTTCTCGCGGCGTTTTGAGGGTTTTTTCCACCATTTTAGGGTTTTTGCCACTCAAGAGGGTTTCTTTGGGGTTTAAAAAGGGTTTTATTTGCCATTTAAAAAGGGTTTTGTCTTCCATTCAAACAGGATTTTATTTGCCGCTTACAAGGGTTTTATTTGTCATTTAAAAGTTTTTTATCAGCCATTTTAAAGGGGTTTTATTTGTCATTTAAAGTGGTTTTTCTTGAGTTTATAACGGGGTTTTGCTTGGGTTTCAAGAGAGCTTTTGTTGCGAATTTAAAACACCTTTTGGGGGTTTTGGGGGTTTAAGGGACTCTTTCTGAGGGTTTTGGAATTTCTTTTTGGGGGATTTTGAAATTCCTTTTGAAGATTAAAAGAACCAAATTCTAATTCTTTAAAAGTCCCCTGCTGCTGCTGTTGCTGCTGCTGCTGCTGCTACATGCGCTGCACCATACGATCTGCTGCTGCTGCTGCTGCTTCCGCTACTGCAGCAGCTCCCCGCTCCCCTGCTGCCTCCCGGCTGCGCACGCTCTCGCTGCTGCTGCTGCATGTGCAGCTGCTGCTGCTTGTGCTGCTGCTCCTACTGCTGCTGCTCAGGTGGGGCGCATAGCGCTGCAGCTGAAGAAAGCAGCAGCAGCTTCTCGTTTGACTCCGCTGCAGCGGGGCCTCAACAGGCTGGGGGGTTTAATAGGCCTTTTGGCAATTTGTGTTTTGGTGGTTATTGTTTTGGTGGCGGTTTTGACGGGCTACAGAGACCCTGCCCACCCCGACTCCGACCCCGTCTTCACCGTGAGTAAACCCTTTTTTAGGGTTTGCGGCTTTGCAGGCTTCCTGCGCAGCTTTTCGGGGCTTTCGAAGGCTTCAAAATGAGGGTTTGGGGGGTTTAGGGTTTAGGGTTTAGGATTTAGGGTGTTTCTTCGCCGTGATAAAGCCTTTTTAGGGTTTGCAGACGGGTTTAAAGCCAGAGAGCTTGGGGTTTAGGGTATAGGGATTGAAAAGCAGTTTATTGGAGTTTTAGAGGGCTTTGAAATGAGGGTTTTGGGGTGGAGCTTTCGACTGTGACTAAACCCTTTTTTAGGGTTTGAGCTGCTGCTGCTCTTTCCCTTTTTCTTCTTTCAATTCCAGTCCACCAATGAGTTATTATTATTTATTTTATTTACTACTTATTTATTTATTTGTTTAGTTAGTTAGTTAGTTAGTTGTTTTTAATTTTTTTATTTCAGATTGTTTTGGTCGCCGTGGGCTTTGCGGTGTCTTCGATTCCCGAGGGGCTGCCGATGGTGGTGACCATTTGTTTGTCTTTGGGGGCGAGAGATATGGTAATTAATTAAATTAATTAATTAACTTGATTAATTAAATAAATTAATTAAATAAATTAAATTAAATTAATTAAATTAACTTGATTATATTTATTTATTCTTCCAGTTGGAGAAAACGAGCGCTGAAACGGAGCTTGGGGAGGGAAAAGACACCAAGTTGCAAGCTGCTGCTGCTGCTGCTGCTGCTTCTAGTGCTGCTGCTGTTGCTAGTGCTACTGTTGCTGCTGCTGCTGCTGCTGCTGCTACTGTATGTAGACTCTTGCTGCTTCTAGCGCTGCTGCTCTTGCTGCTTCTTACTGCTTCTTCTGGTGCTGCTTCTGTTGCTGCTGCTGGCGTTGCTTCCACTGTTGCTGCTGCTGCTGCTATTTATGCTGCTGCTGCTGTCAGAACTAGTGCTACTGGCCCTACTACACTACACTTGCTGCTGTTGCTGCTGCTCTTATCTTACTGCTGCTGCTATTATCTTACTGCTGCTGTTGCTGCTGCTGCTGCCGCTGCAGGTGAAGCGAAAGGCGAACGTGCGGAAGCTGCCAGCTGTCGAGACACTCGGCTGCTGCTCCGTCATTTGTTCCGACAAAACAGGTTGGTTGTTTATTTATTTGTATTTATTTATTTATTTATTTATTATCTTTATTTATTTATTTAATTATTTATTTATTTATTTATTTATTTATTTATTTATTTGGCTTCACGAAGAGTGCCGAAGTAAGTAATGAAAAGACAAACATCGCAACAAACAAAACAATTAAATAAAACAAAATAAAAATAAATAAAATAAAATAAATAAAAATAAAAATAAAAAAGTGTTTTTGTTTTGCTGCTAAGGGACTTTGACGGAGGGGAAAATGACAGCAACAAGACTAGTTGTCTTTTCGCGGAAGGAGACTGCTGCAGCAGCAGGAGCAGCAGCAGCAGCAGCAGCAGCAGGAAGCAAAGAGGAGGTTGAAAAGGAGACAAAAGAAGCGGCAAAAGGGTCAAATGAAATTAAAAAAGGAAATAAAAATGAAATTAAAAAAGAAGATAAAAACTCTTTTGTTTTTGCTGTTTACCCCACAAAAGGTTTTGACCCGCACGGCGGCTTCTTCGAGCTGCAAAAACTTTCCGAAGGAAAAAAGGTGCGCCTTTTGCTGCTGCTGCTGCTGCTGCTGCTGCTGCTGCTTTCAGTTTGCTGCTCTTCTTTGATTGGCTGCCGCACTTCACGCCTCTTCTTCTTTCCCTTTTGCTGTTTTTTTGCTTCTCTTTTTGTCTTCTTTTGCTGCTGCTGCTGCTCCGCAGCAGCGCAGTTGAGCAGCAGCTCCTTTCCTAAAATTCCAGCAGCAGCAGCAACAGCGGGAAAAGTGTGTTGCTGCTGCTGCTGCTGCTGCTGCTGCGCAGGCAACTATTGCGGCGCTGCATGCACAAGGGGCCTACAACTCATTTGGGCGAGTGCTGATGGACTACGGTGCTGCTGACGCTGCTGCTGCTGCAACAACAGCAGCAGCAGCAGCAGCAGCAGCGGGAGACGCTGCTGCTGCTGCTGCTGCGCGGGCAGACGCAGCTGCTGCAGCACAACTTCGAGCACTTCTTGCTGCTGCTTTTCTAAATTCACATTCCACAAAATTGACAAGAGATCCAAAGACAAAACAGTGGACCACTTCGGGCAACATGAGCGAAGGTAAAGAGCAGCAATTTGCTGCTGCTGCTGCTGCTGCTGCTGCTGTTTGACGGATGCCCGTTTTTGCTCCAGTTGGACTGCTCTTTTGCTGCTGCTACCTTTGCTTGTCGCTTCTTGTCTTTTTTATCTCCTTTTGTAGCTTTTTTCTAAAGTTGCTGCTGCTGCCCCACCCCTCCGTTCCTCTTGCTGCTGCTGCTGTGGCTGCTGCTGCTGCTTGCTGCTACTGTTGTTCGCTTGCTTTCGATCACTTTTTATTCGCCGCTGCTGCTGCTGCTGCTGCTGTTGCTGTTCGCCTGCCATCACTTTGCCTCCCTTCGCTGCTGCGGCTTCCCCTGCTGCTGCTGCTGCTGCTGCTGCTGCTGCTTAGGGGCGTTGGTGGTTGCTGCTGCGAAGGCGGGTTTTGACGGGAGTTTGTTTGAAATGTATCCTCGAGAAGCAGCACTAGAAGTTCCATTTAACTCTAGCAGAAAACTTTCTGCTTCTGTCCACAAGTTGCAAACCCCCAACTCCTTCTGCAGCCTCAGCTTCGCCCGCAGCAGCAGCAGCAGCAGCAGCAGCAGCAGCAGCAGCAAATTCACGCACGTCGCCATCGTCAAGGGCGCACCCGATAAGGCAAGACCGGCCGGCGCCAATCAAGGGTTTAGGGTTTAGGGTTTAGGGTTAGGGTTTAGGGTATAAAGGTCTTAGGGTATACAGGGTTTAGGGTATACAGGGTTTAGGGTTTAGGGTTTAGGGTTCGGGGTTAAGGGATTGCAGTGTTTGGGGTTTACAGGATTTAGGGTTTACAGGGTTTAGCGTTTACAGGGTTTAAGGTACACAGGGTTTAGGGTAAACGGGGTTTAGAGTATACAGGGTTTAGGGTTTAGGGTTTAGGGTTTAGGGTTTAGGGTTTAGGGTTTAGGGTTTGGGTGCTGCAGCTGTACCGGCACTTGGGCTACATGTTGAAGTGCGGGGAAGGCTGCTGCAGCATAGACTGGAGCAGCAAAATGAGCGAAGGCGAGGGTTTAGACATTAAGCAGCAAAACGATGAACTTTCTGCTGCTGCTCTGAGGGTTTTGGCTGTTGCTGCTAAACCCTTAACCCCCGCGCAGCTCCAAACCCTCAAGGAAGCAGAAGGCGCTGACGAGCGCCTCCAGCAGATCCTCGAGGAGCCCCAACGCGTACAAACCCTAAACCCTAAACCCTAAACCCTCGGGGAGGCGGGAGGAGCCGCTCAAAGCCCGCTCGAATGACTCTTCCCAGTGCCCCAGCAGCCCCAAACCCTAAACCCTAAACCCTAGGCGCGGGCGATCTGCTGCAGCCTGCCTTCGTAGCTCTAAACGAGTCGCCTATAAACACTGCTGCTCTGCTGCAACTGCTGCTGCTGCTGCTGCTGCTGCACCTCTGTTTTGCTCTTCCGTTTCGCCGCTGATGCGTGTCGAGACGCCGCCGGCTCCGCTGCTGCTGCTGCTGGACGCCGGTACCACCCGCTGCTGCTGCTGCTGCTGCAGGGTTTGCTGCTGCTGGGACTTGTGGGGTCTTTGGACCCCCCAAGAGCTGGAGTGCAGCAAGCTGTGCTGCAGTGCGGAGCAGCAGGAATAGAAGTGAAGATGATAACAGGAGATCAGCTGAAGACTGCATGCGCTATTGCTGCAGAGCTGGGTATACTGCAGCAGCACCAGCAGCAGCAGCAACAGGGGGAGCAGCAGCAGCAGCAGC